AAACCGAGAACCTAACCATCTATTCGGTTTTATCATTTTCTCTAACGAACCGAACCGAATTATATTTTCAAACAGAACTGAACCAACCCTAATCGAATTCGGTTTAGTTTGGTTCAGTTTTCAATTCAGTTGGACCGTGGTCCTGGTTCCACATAAATGACAAGCATTTAACAAGTGTTATTAATGAAAAGTTAAAATGGCCCCAAAACCCAATAGTTTTAATTAATTAACTATTAACTATTATTAATTAAAAGTTAAAATGACCTCAAAGCCCAATGGTTTTCATTAATTAGCTATTATTAATTAAAAGCTAAAATAGGCCCAAAGCCCTATGCCAATGGGGAATTGGTGAATTGGCCATTTTCAAAAATAATTAATGAACAATTAATAATGAGTCTAGGTTTTAATTAACTATTATTAATTGTTCATTGGGAAATATAATAATTAATTAGCATAAAGTATTAAATAAAACATAATTTTTTAATATACTTAACTAAATAACAGCATTAATTCGATTTACAATTTGGTTCGGTTGAAAATTTCAATCAAACCGAACCGAAAATCGATTTTTAAAAAAATAAAAACCGAACCGAACTGAATTACTTATTCGATTCGGTTTTCAATTTATCAACCGAATTTGAACACCCCTACTGATTGGGCATGAGCAATCGATGACAGAAAGTCTACCAGTGGGTATTGTACCTTTATGGGAGGAAACTTAGTCACCTGGAGAAGTAAGAAGCAAAGTGTGGTGACTAGGTCCAATGCTGAAGTGGAATACAGAGCTATGTCTCATGGAGTTGCTGAAATCATGTGGATAAAAAACTTGTTAGGTGAACTGAGTTTTGCAATTAGCAAACATATGTCGCTCTATTGTGGCAACAAAGCTGCTATCAACATTGCTACTAACCAATTCCTCCATGATAGAACAAAACATATTGAAGTGGACAGGCATCTTATTAGAGAAAAAGTTGTGAGTGGAAAAGTGTGCCCTCCATATGTCAGTTCAGAAGAACAACTTGTAGACATCTTCACCAAGGGCCTTCATCATGTGTGGCATAGTAATTTGTGTGACAAGTTGGGCATGATTGACATCTATGTCCCAACTTGAGGGGAAGTGTTGGAATGTTTTTCTTTATATTTATGATTGTATTCTACTTAGTTAGGGCCGGTTTGGTCTAGTTAAAATAGCATTTTTTCCTTTGTTTATCTACTTTGACTACAACAGGGGCATAAGGGTCTTTTCCCTTTTATTTATGGTCGCCCTATATATAATAACATAAGCTGGTGCCACCAGACTGATTAGAACTCTCCAAACCTTTCTCTTCTCTTCTCCTTTCTCTCTTCTCCTTTCTCTCTTCTCTTTCTCTTCTTTTCTTCTTCCTTATTTCTTCTCTTTTCTTCTGCTAATAGTTCCTGCACACAAAATCCCTAAACCATGTAAAAGGGAGATACTCATACCATGGCATAGGAAACACTCTCCTTCTTTTCCACTTAAGTTACAAGGAAATAAACCAGGCATCCCAAATTCCCAATAAATAACAGATGTGATAATGTTTTCTTGGAAAACCTCTTCAAATCTTTCCACAACAAGATCCCTTATAGAGTTAAAGGTGCCTGAGGCTCATGGTTGTGTGGCAGACAAGTATCCAAGATGCTACTCCATAAGACAACTCTAAAGGTGATTAGGGCTCAAGACCAAGAAAGAATCCCAGCATATTCAAGATCAAAAAATAATAATAATAAACAAAGAGTTCATTCCAACCAAATGGTCTCATCTGCTTATGGTGATCGGTGCACAAAGATTTTATACACAAGTTGTATGCTCTTCTTTCTTCTACAGAAGTAGTAAAAGTGTTTTTTCTACTGCTACTGTTGGAGTGATTCTAACAATTGAAGGTGCTGACTGCTTCACACTTTGGTGCTGATGCCAAAGCCTTACTGGTGATGCTTCCAGTAAGAACTATCCTCTCCTTTCTATTAACCCTAATTCTCATTTCTCACTCATATGCCTTCTTTCTTTGTTACTGTTTGCATCTATGATTATTAAAACACATTTTCCATATCTACTGCTTTCTATGGTAATAAAAACCTTTTCAGTAACAAATAAAAAAAAAATTCATTAATTGATAAAAAAGTACATCCAGAGAGTGACAAGAAATCACCAATGAACGAAACACAAGATAAAACAGTGGATCAAAGACATAAAAATATAACAGATCAGCCCAATAACTCCAACTCTAATAATGACCAAAATCCCTTCCCAAACGATTCCTTTGACACCCTCAAATTCAGGGAAGATTAAGATCCACTCCAAGTTCTTTTCCAAATGGTTGAAATAATTTGATCCATGTGTTTTGAATGGCCTTCAAAGATTCTTCTGCTTCTCTCCTTCCAGATCTCCCAACAAATAGCAAAAGGAACAGCTCTATCCAATTTTTTACTTTTTTTTTCTCTTTCAAAATAGGTAGCAGGCAAAGTTTTCTTTTGGAGATTTAGCTCCCAAACATCAAGATTAAAAAGGCTGACAAAGTATCCCGAAATGTACTTTGAAAAACAGCATTCAAAACATAAATGCATCACATTCTCCTCTTCATCCAAGCATAAGTAGCATCTTCCCCCCAACTGAATTCCTCCGCTTTTTATGTGATTTTGGGTAAGAATACTACCAAATGCAGCTAGCTACACAAAAGCCTCCGCCCTAGGGGGAATGGGATTCCCCAAACCCCTTTCACATCCAACTTCTCCACCTAATTCATTGTCAAGGCTCTACAAAAAGACTTCATTGAAAATACACCATTCCTACTTTCTTTCCACCATCTCACATCATTTCTCCCTACTTGCAATCCCACTAGCTGTAGTTTTGCTAATAGCCCCACACACTCCTCGACCTCCCAATCAAGTAACGACCTTCTAACTTTTGGGCACCAGACCACTTTTCCTTGGTTAAACTCATAATAATCAACAATAGATGTATTTTTCCTGCTCAATCTATAAAGGCAAAACCTGCCAATGCCCAACCAATCATCTTCCAAAAACTTAATGTCACCCAAAGCATGGTTTGACAGGTTTGAGGGAACACTGCTTCGCTTTCGATACCATAAACTCTTTGTGAAGAGGAGAGGATCACTTGTGTCAGTGGTGATTGTTTATGTTGACAATATTGTAGTTACAAGAAATGATATGGGTGAGATTGATGCCCTAAAGAAGTCATTACAACAAGAATTTTACACCAAGGATCTTTTGAATTTTAAATCAAGGATCTGAGTGAGTTAAAGTATTTTCTAAGTATTGAGATTACAAGAACCAAACATGGGATTTTCATCTCTCAAAGGAAGTATGTTTTGGATTTGTTACAGGAGATTGGAGAAGCTTGGAGTCAAACCAATTGATACTCCTATTGGTCAAAACCACATGATTATGGTGAGATGTTGGGAGGTATCAAATGTTCGTAGGTTGTCTGCTATATTTGTGTAAGACCCTTCCACATATCTCTTATACTGTCAATGTTTTTTTTATCAGCTCTTATACTGTCAATGTTGTAAGCCAGTACATGCATGCTCCTCAAACTCAACATTTGGCAGCCATTGGTAGGATTCTTGCATACCTAAAAAAGCATCTTGATAGAGGAATATTGTTTGTTGATCATCGGCACTTGAAATTAGAAGCCTATATAGATGCAGATTGGGTAGGCTAGTTGGATGATAGGAAGTCTATATTAGGGGTTTGCACTTTTTTAGGGGGCAACATGGTCTCATGGAAGAGCAAAAAATAGTCAGTTATGGCTAGATCAAGTGCACAAGCAGGATACAAGGCTATGGCTCACAGTGTCTCAGAAATTCTTTGGATCAAGTCCTTGTTGGGTGAACTTGAAATTGTTGTTGATGAACCTATGATGTTGTATTGTGACAATCAAGCCACAACCAATATTGCTCATAATCCAGTTCAGCATAATAGGACGAAGCATATTGAGGTTGATAGGCACTTCATAAGAGAGAGGGTAGCATCAAGGGAAATTCGTCTATCATATGTTTCTTCTGATTCACATTCGGTTGATGTCTTTACCAAGGGAATCATAATGGACAAGCTTGAACATGACCTACGCAAGTTGGGAAGGTGTGACATTTACTCCCAACTTGAGGGGGAGTGTTGAGGATTTACCATTATTTGTTTATATTATTTAGTTAACATTGTTGGGCCTAAGGCCCACTAGTTTACTTTTTATGTTGTTGTTTTAAGTTGTTGACAATAGCCACCCTATTAAGGGCATATTGGATATTGTATATCTTTTTTAGCTTCTCTTCTCATTCCCTCATCTTTCTCGTCTTTTCTCACAGTCCCCTTTCTTCTTTCTATTCTTTCTTTATTGTTTTTTTTTTTTATTTTGCTGTTTTCTACATGATCAAATACATGACCGAAAACTAAGAAAGACAACAACTTGTAAGTTGCAAACAAGGTGAACTAACAAACATATATGGAGAAAAAAACAAAATTCAATACATAGTACTCCCTTACTTTCAATAATATTTAAAATTCATATAGCTGTATGTTTGCTGGGAATATAATAATCGACCTTTATATCCTAGTCCTAGAGATGCATAAGAGTATGGACCACCAAATCAGGTTATCTATCAGACACTTAAAGTTGAATTTCTTTTTTTTTGATAAATACACTTAAAGTTGAATTTAGATCCTAACGATTCAGTTAGGTATTCCATTAATGAAACATTCATTGAGTGATAACAGCTAATAAGCACCAAGATATTTGTAATGATGAAGTTGGAGCACCAGTACAAATGATCATAAGGCTCCATGTTAGGGAGTAAAATATCAGCCAACAACCGGGGCTATTGTCCCGTCAACAAGAAAATTGCAGAAAACTCTAATGTTTGGACAGGCATAAAAACAACCAGAACTTGATGCATGTAACTCAGCTGGTATTTCCTCAGAAATATAGCATAGCGTAATGCATGGAAAAGCATCTGGCATCAGAAAGTTACCCCTTCGACAAAATTTCCAGTAGAAGAGGAACTTTGGAAACCATTTCTTTCGATGAAGCGATCTCCGGAACACGACAGAAAGCAGCAAGAACTGTGACCGCAAGCTGTAAATAGGCGTCAAGATCATCACTTTCCCTACCCCTGATCACTCCTTTACCCATGCCTGACAGGATTTACAGTATTTCATCAAAAAAAAAAAACAGCAGAAAAAAAGAACATTTTTTGTTGCATTTTGACCGGGAATGCAGATACGAAAATAGGTTACCAGTCCTGAGAAGACGATCGAGAAAACGATCTCCTACTGCATCATAAATCCTGCATATAGAAGCATGGTCGTCGCCCTTGCAGAATTTAGTCGCCAGAAGCAGGCCTGCTAGTCGTTGCTCGTCTCTCTCTCCTTTCAATAGCTTCAAGCAATCTTCCAGGCCTGGACCTTGTTCCTGTCAATATGAAGATAAAATTAAAACAGAAACAAGATTTACTAAGACTGCGTTAAATGCAGCAAAACCTAGAGCTGCAATGAATATGAACAAAGCAGAACACAGCCTGTGAGACGTGTAAGAAGAAATAAAACAGAGATAGAACACACGCTCACCATTGAACCGATAGAAGAGAAACAGATTCCTGCAACTTTGAAGAAGATTTGAGGTTCAAATAACGAAATTAGGATTTCTGCATACGCTTGTGAGCACTGAGCAAAGGTTCTAGCAGGGTTTTACTATAATGTTGCAGAGTTTTCTCCAAGTTTCTAATGTTCTATACCGTTATCGAGACATCGATTCCGCTTTCTTTGCTTCTTTTCCCTTTCCCTCCGAGTCTCCGACGTGTGATGGGCTTATACTGAGAGTGTGGGCCGTCTGGCAAACTGGCAATGGGTAAACCCTATGCCCGGCCCGCTAATACCCAATCACCAAAACCGGTTAGCAGTTATTCGGGTATTTAGACCCGATGTACTGTAAAGGATACAAGGAAAGAAACCAATCCACTTCAAAACAACAAATGCACTCAATCTGTACTACAACTGAAGGGGTGCTATGAATCAAAAAAAAAAGAAAAGGGGTGCTCACGGTTCGGTAACCGAACCGAGCGGCTCATCTTGTGACCGAACCAGTAGTATCGGTTTTTGGAAAACTGATAACTGATATCGAACTAAAACCTATCGGTTAACCGGTTGACCAGTTCGGTTAACCATCGGTTCGGTTCGTCGGTTTTTCAGTTTTTAATTTAATAATAAAAATATATAATAATAAATATTTATAAATATATAGAATATTATATTTTAAATAATAAACAATATATTGTAAATAATATTATATATAAAATATTATATTTTAAATAATAACCGACTAGTTCGGTTAACCAATTTTTTCGATTCAGTTTTTTTTGAAAATTTGGTTTTTCGTTTTTATTTTTTTTTTTTTTTTTTGCTCACCCCTAGTTCAACTATTAAAGGCAAGAAAAAGACCAACTAGAAAAAAATGGAGAAAACATCTCATAAGTGGAAACGCCCAATAAGAAACCCACAACCAAAACAAATATAGAATATGGATATTTAAGGGATATTTGGTACACAAATTTATACTGATGAACCCAAACGTCATTGTACCAAACACCCCCTTAGAAGCCTTCACCATCTCGAAATAAGATAAAAACTCATCCTCATACTAAAATCCTTCCTAGGATAGAAAGTGCTTCATGCTCAGTTGAAACTGAAAAAAACAACAATATAGGGTCCTCATGAGGGGTAATTTGGCATGACCTAGTAAGTAAGGTCACGTGGACGCGATCTGCCAGTAAGATGGCAACTCAGCAAGAGGAGCCTAGTCAGCAGTTCAGAGATTGGGTGTTCGGTCACCTCGGTACAAAGCCACCTCGATATAGAGTCACATCGGCACCAAAGCCAGTTCGGGGCCCAGGAACCAAAGTGACACGTAATCAACTCCATAAGCTTCTTAGCGGACTCCGAACCTCTTGGGTTCACGCCGCATAACAGCAGGCCTTATCCTCTCCCCGCCCGGATCAGGCAGTAACGATAGACTTCATTGACTAATACGTTACTCCCCATCTAAAGCGTAAACAAATCTCATCTACTCAAACCGAAGATTCCATAATCGTTTCATGAGACCCACGGCAGCTCAACTATATAAGGGCATCAATCCCTCCAGGGCCCAGGTACGCGCGATTATTAACATACAAGCTCTCTAGCATTCAGGCTTTTAGCTCGCAACCACAGCAAGAATACTAACTTAAGCATCATAGCAACCTCATCGGGTCATCCACCCCGGTCTCTCTGATCTCTGTTTTGCAGTTTGATCCAACTCGCCACATGAGCAACGTCCAGGCAACCTTCTAGTTAGGAGTTTTCAAATCGAGCATCATCGATTGGCACCGTCTATGGGAACAATCGAAAAGGTCATCCCCATCCTAGTTTTAATCTTACTCCAATCTCAACCTCAATGGCATCTTCCAGCCACACTGGAAAGAGTGACATGAACATTATTGGAGGGCAAGAGCAGCAAACAGTCACTCCGCAGGGTTCCTCGGTGACCATTGGCAAGTTCACCATCCCCTTGACAGTCTCTGGGATTTCGTCACTGTCCATGCCGCACACTACCCCACAGGTGAGTGTCCTGCTCCCCCAAGTGAACACCACGTTCTCGGAGCCTTCTATGATTCCCCGTGGGGTCGGGCACTCCCAGTTCAACGATCTTGTCCAGAGCGTCTGGACAATGCAGATTCAGATGCAACATGTTCACCAGTTTCAACAGTTCCAACAGTATTACTTCTATCAGTAGTGCCAGCAGCAGTTCCCACCACTGTAGCTGAACCAACCAACAAATCAATGTCAAGGACAAATTCAAAACTAGGACCAGCATCGGGCCCATCAAGGTATTCACCAGTCTCCTCCCCGCGGTGAGAGAACTTCACAGGTGTCACTCCCTCCCTCGAGACGAACCTCGCCATGGGGTAGAATAGATGATCGACGTACTCCCCCAATTTCCCAAAGAGAGAACTCGAAGATAGGCCCGAACCCAGCCAGCCCAAGAGGCATAGCTAGCAGCTTCCCGCGCCAAGACAACGTAGATCGTCAGCTCGGGGCCCGAGCCATGGGCTTAAGAGGAGACCCCTTGGTACCCCGCGACAACCAGTGCCGAACACGCGGGGAGAAGAACCCCCAAACCACCTCGCCCCATCATTCGGAGCAAGATTGAGATACTTGACAACATTGAGGCTGGCAGTACAAACGCCACACCACCAAAGAAGCAACAACGGCGACGTCACAAGACTCGTTCTTCCTCAGCAAGGAACAACCCACCAGCAAAGCCCAGCCATCTAGTAGATCAAAGTCGAGAAAGAGAGGAGGTAAGCTCGGTGGCCACGAGAACGACGCTTGCTCTGTTGAGCTAGCCATCCCCCTGTAACTCGAGCTCATGGCGGCCCCAGTGTCGAAAGATTTCAAAGTACCACCACTAGACAAGTATGATGGGTCTTTTGACCCCAACGATCATGTAGACGCATTCCAGTCCCAGATGCATCTCGCTGGGGCCGATGAGGCTTGCATGTGTGTGGCTTTCTCCACCACATTCAAAGGAATAGTTCAGACTTGGTATAGAAACCTCGCATCGGGTTCCATCAGAAGCTGGGCACAGTTTGCAAACATGTTTACGGCCCAATTCATCACCAATAAGAAGTGTCTGAAATTGCAGAGAGAGACTTCTGAACGTGGTGTAGAGGGAGGAGAATCAATTCGAAACTACATCAAGCACTTCAACGAGACATGCTTGCAGATACCAAACCTTGATCCAACGGTACGCCTCACCGCAGCATGCAAAGGAATTACTCATAAGGAGTTCAAGTGGCATGTCGTGGCAAACAAGCCGAAGAACATCACCGAGTTCCTTAGGCTGGTCGATCATTTCATCAGTACAGAAGAGGAAATTAACCAAAAGACTGACAACCAGCAAGGTGAAAAAAGAAAAAAGAATAATGGACGAACAACAATAAGCAAAAAAAGGAAAAAGAGCAAATTCCCAAGGCGAAGAAGCAAGTCCCCGAGCTCAAGGAGTAAGTCCCCTCACGAAGTTACAGGTCGAGTCGGCATTCCAGGACCCCGCTAGTGGAGAGAACCAACTATACTCCCCTTAACGCGAAGCGAGGAGAGATCTTAATGGCCACTAAAGACTCCTCCATCGTCAGATGACCACCCAGGCTATGGGGAGACCCAATGACTAGGAACCCGAATGTTTATTGTCACTTTCATCAGGACCATGGTCGCAACACAGAGACTACAGAAACCTCCACGACGAGATCGAGTAACTCATCCGCCGCGGGTATTTGAAAAACTACATTTTGCGCGAGGAGAAAGGACAGGGGGACCGACAGGGAGATCGAAAGAAAGACACCCCGGAAAACCAGCAAGCAAAACGAGCAGAAGAAAGACCAGTCCACGGGGAGATCAATATGATCACTATGAGATCCATTGTAGTGGGGTGCATAGTAGTAGCAGGGAAGAATTCAGTTCGAGAACTAGAGCACGAGGCAGAGAACCCACCCAAGCGACCTCGAATCGAAGAACCCATTTATTCTACCGAGGACGATGCTCATGGGATTCAGTATCTTCATGACGATGCCCTTTGTCGTAAAGTTGATCATCAATGACTTCGAGGCGAAGCGGATCTTGGTGTGAATCAGGTTGTTCAGCTAATATCCTCTTCAAAGGAACTTTTAACAAGTTACAATTGCAGCAGAGCAATCTGAAACCAGCGGATACCCCACTAGTACGGTTCAACGGAGAAGAAGTTAGGCCTATAGGTCGGGTCACAATACCAGTGGAGGCGGGCACGTGGCCGAACATTGTACGGTTTCAGCACACATTCTTGGTGGTCGCAACTCCGTCCCCCTAAAATGCAATTATAGGTTGGCCCATTACACATGCTTTACGCGTGATAGTATTGACTTACTATCTCGCAATGAAATTTCCGAAAGATTACGGAGTAGGGGTCATACGAGGCGATCAACTCAAATCCCGTAAGTGCTACGTGGCTGCCTTCAAGGGAAAGGCAAAATTGGCGGAAGTCATCGAACTGGAGCAACCAGCAAACTACACCGAGGAGTGAGACGCCCCGATGGAAGAGATAGTCCACATACCGGTTTATGAGACCGAGCCGACTAAGACTCTCCAAATCGGTGCACTGATAAGCAAACCGCTCCAAACATAGCTAGTAAGTTTCTTACTTAATAATTTAGATGTTTTCGCCTGGTCCACGGCAAAAATGCCCAGAATTGACCCTAGTGCGATAACTAAAAAACTTAATATGGACCCTTTAGTCAAGACAATTAGACAATGAAAACGCAACCTCGCCCCAGAGCGGTGGAGGGTAGTCGATGAGGAGGTCGGGAAGCTCCTCGCCGCAAACTTCGTCAGGGAGGTCCATTACCCAATCTGTGTCGCCAATGCCGTGCTTGTAAAGAAAGCCAATGGCAAGTGGCGCATGTGCATCGACTACACCGACCTGAATAGAGCGTGCCCAAATGATTGCTTACCCTACCCAAAATTGACCGCCTAGTAGACGTGACATCAGGGCATGAGTTGTTGAGTTTCATGGATGCTTACTCCGACTACAACCAAATTAGGATGAACATAGCCGACCAAGATAAAACTGCTTTTGTAACCAAACTCGGGTTGTACTCTTATAAATTTATGCCTTTGGTTTGAAAAACACTGGAGCGACTTTCTAGCGACTTATAAACAAAATTTGTGAACCTTTGATTGGTAATAAAGTGGAATGTTATGTTGACGACATGGTCGTGAAGACC